AGTTGCAAAACGCTTTGAAGTAGCATTAAAAATGAGCCTAAGAAATTGAAGAGGCAGCTTAAAATCAACCAGAATCAACCAGATGAGATATAAAACAGAAAATTACAAAGTGGTCTGCTCTTCAAAGGGATATCTAATGAGGAACAAAAATTAAATACAGAATATGAAATGTCTGTGTAGGCAGAAAACAACGTGGGAGATCACAAACTGAAGAGTCAACACTGTGATGTATGATACAAAGAGTAATTACTCCACTTTACTCAGCTCTGGCAAGACCCAGCAAGAGCAGTGCTGTGCTCAGAATCACTGTACGCTGAGGAAGACGATGACGATCCACCAAGGGGCAAAAGTGCAACAGTGAGGACAGCTGAAGGAATAAGGATTGGATGGCTTAGAAATAAAGCTGTAAACTTAGAAATGAAGGGATTAAGGTGGAACATTATAGCAGCACTTCAAAGTGCAGATGGCTGTCATAAAAGTTTCGGTGGCCATTGTTCCACCGTGACAGCTAAAGGAAGGAGAAAGATCAGATCCGTTTGCAGCAGAGGTTTGAGTTAGGTATTACAAACACATTCAAACAATTGGGATTGCTGAGCATTAAAACAGGCTATTTCAGAGCCTGCAGAATCTTCCCTCCAGGAGCCCCGACTCCAATTCTTTTGAAAGTGCACACAGCAACTTTGCTCGTCTAATAAAAACAAAAAAGGTGCATGTGCGTACATAGTCATCAGTGAGTTTGAAAGGTAATTCTCTTGGCCTTGTAGGTGAGCAGTTACTCAACTCCTAATAATATTACGTCTCAATTCAGTGTTTTTGAAAGCATGGGCTTGAACAGCAACAGGATCAGACCTACATTTTTTTTGCAATTGCGCCTAAGTAATGGAATGCCTGTCTCAGATCTTTTAATGCAGCATAACTTAATGCAGTTTTTGTATTCCAATAGTATGCATAAATCACTGCAAAAGAATCGCTATCTCACTGTAAGAAGAGAGCTACTAAACTGTGTGTCCTAGACAAAGGAAATATTTTTCAAGTGCTTTGCCTCAGGGGGGATTTAAAGGAGGAAGTTAATGCATTCCAGCAAGAATCTCCATCACTATAATACCAGTGGATTAATTGTAAGTAAAGCTAAGGCTGCGAGAGAGGAAAATTTGCAGTATAAGGAATGTTGATGAAAAGTGCGGGAATGCTGTTGAAGATAAATATATAGCTTGAAATAGATTTTATTTTAAAATGGTGATATTCTTTCAGCATTTCTGTTATTCCCATGACTACCTCTCAGCTCTAAGAACGACTTTTTCATTTTATTCCAATAAATCATTTCTGAATCAAGAATTCATTACATTTCCAGCTTTTCATTTTCACTGCAGTGGTTTCTTTCTCTGTGCAACGGCTTCATCACCTGATTGCAATCAATATTGCTGTAACAGGCAGTACATGCAGTTCATCATCAGCAAGAGAAGGGTAAGGAATTACAGGGCACTTACACCACCCTTGTTTAAAATCCATCCCTCTGCCTTCTACACCTGCCCTTTGCAGGATGCACCTTTTTTTTCCTTCTATGGACGCATGGATCTGTATTACACCAAAGATGCCCAGTTATTTATTCACTATAAATAAATGAAAAAAATAAAATTCAAAGACATTCTTTTTAAAAATAGCTGTTACTGTAAAATGCACTCTCGAAAAGCATTTATCTGCCTCATCACAGCAAAGAGCTGTGTGCCAATACTAGCTGCGTGTGTCACTACTTAATTGATCATAAAGGAGCTAAAATGCAAATTAAGGGAACACAAAAGGCAGACCAAAATGAATATAAGCAAATACAATTTCTTTTAATTGGTCTCACACCTGCATCCTTCAGCTTAAGTGGAATATTGAGGGTCATTATTTTAAACATCCTCTTCCTCCCCCCAAAGTTTTCACAAGAAATGTCCTATCCTGATGCCCAGTGAAGCTCTTTTTCCTGGGCTCACAAAAAAGATCCAGTTCATATATACAAAATGCAAAATGAAAGAAAAAAAAGGTCTCTGTGGAGCCATCCTAATTTAAATGCTTATCTTGCAAAAGGGGAAGGGAATGAAGAAAATAGCACAATGATGGGAAAACATGTCAGTCTCCAGGACAGCATTTCTTTCAGTAATTCATTCAGTTTACAGCTAGAACTCTGCAAGAACCTATTGAACATGCAGGCAGTGTACATCACTCAGCAAACAATGGAAAATGATAAACAGAAAAGACAATGGAAAGCTAGAAAAGCACCATTAATTGCAGGTAATAATATTAAAGTTATTATTAAAATACTTAAAAGGAGAATGCAACCCCTCCCCTTCTTTTCAGACAGCTCTAAAACTAACTTCAGATACTCTTTTCTGAGAAAACAGCTCAATCCAAGATCTGAGCAAGTGTGTTGAAATGTGCTGTCCTCCCTCTTCAGTAATTCCCTTCCTCTGGAAAGATGGATTCTCCATGCAATCTGAAATCTGCAAAAACATTTTCCTTTCCCTCATCCGGCTGATGGTAGAGACAACCTACAGACCGTGCTCTGCACGTGTTTTCTTATTCCTGTTGGGGAATATTTAGACTGCTTCAATCACTGTAAAATATGGCTATATAAACCTACACAGGTGATTTCAAACATGGGTGAAAATGGCCGCAGCCAGTATCAATAAGGAAGATATAAATACACGGGATTTATTTTCTCCTCCTTTCAGAATTCACATCTCATATGTACTCAGTTTTCATCAGCAGATCTTTTCTACTTCTGCCTTGCACAAAGCTACTGTTTGATTGTCTCACAAAGTTTCTTTTATAGTGCTGTGGACAAACAAATTTGGCACCCTGGAAACAGCAGTATGCACTGTCCAAGACGATAGTTAAGTTTGTTCCAATGTTTTTGGCAGTTTTCTTCACCCAGTATCATCCTTCAGCTTGAAAAGCTTTTGTACTGACATTTTAGTGTTTCTAGACTAAAATCACACTTCTTTTTATGTTTTATTCCACTGAGCTAAAAGAACGATTTATATTCTCCTCTCATAAAGAGATTCTCCGTCCTACTTATAATCCCTCATGCCCTTCTCTGTACCTCCTGCAGTGCAATCTAATCTTTTCTGACCAATAGCGCCCAGGATAGCACAAATTGTTTCAGATGAGCTAGATGTTTTATTTTTACCTGCAGTATCTAACGGAAATATCTGACCTGTCAAGCCATGTGATTTTACAAGCTTCCTTTTTTTTTTTCTTGGTAGACAGAGCACACATATATGACTTGGACAATGTCAACTAATACAATGAACACCTTCCACTCACTGTCACCTCCAACTGATGCGTTTCCCCTGTGAAGAAAGTACTGCCTGCTATCAGTCTCCCTATACTTTACATTTTGAAAATTAATCCCATTGTATTATTTAGGATTTCAAGGTCATCCAATCTCGATCCCTCTCTTATTGAAAGCGTCTTGCTATTTTGTGTCATCAGCAAATTTCATTATTACAGCTCATATTTTTGTACCTACATCATTAATGGAAATTTCTGGCTGAATAAATATCTTCTGATGTCTCAGATGGGTATGCGATAGGTTTTTTGCTTTCATCTCCAATGTGGAAACATTCATTTTCATATCTTCTTTCTCATTAGCCTCTGCTTTAATTTCCTTTGTAAGGAAACTCAGCTGGGCTTCTGACAATTCTCACTTTACTCTTACCCTCCTTAATACTTTTATAAGCAATCATTTTGTTTCATTCCCTTCAAGCTTCTGATTGTTCCCAATAACCCTTCTGAAGAGGCTATTTACACAGCTGTGACCAACCATCCCTCTACTTTGAGATATGAATTTCAGATACTATTTTTTGCAGACACTTTACCGATGCCAAGCCTTCCCCACATGCAAGTCCGCAACCATCTAAATGACACTGTCACCACTAACTCATTCCCTTAATTCCATCATTTGACCTTTTTAATTAAAAATCTGTTACTAACCTGGCTCTGCTCTAAGTGAATAATTTTCCTAATAATCTTATGAAAAGTATTTCTCTCCAGACTTAAAATAAAACGTCTCTAGCGCACACGTTCGTCTGATATAAACTCCTTGCTATCTTTCTCCAATATTGACTCAAACAAGTTCTTCTTTAACTTTTCTATCAATCAATTGATTTTACCTGTATAACACTATAAAAGTGTTATACAGGTATAATTCTAAATTCTACTCTGCCATATCTCCTGGTACCCTTTCAGAATTAGTAACTCCAGTTTTGTTGCTTGGGTTCCAGAGATATATAAACATTGTAGCTGTTCCTATGTCACTAACAGGACATCCTCCCTGGAAGAGTTGATAGTCCTCCTCCTAGGTGCCAGCTATATACAATTTACAAAGCACTCTCATTGTTATTTTTCATAAGACAGCCTTGTCTCCAGCTACAATTGGCATCTCAAAACATACAACCGAAGTACCTGAAGATCTGTAAGACATGCATTCTCTTAATGACAGATTTTTCTGAGGCATGGGAAGTGAAACATGGAGTTAGGAAAGCACGACACTGTGGTTATGTACTGAGTCAGTCAAGTGGCAAGAGTGGATGAGAGCATACCTGAATCCCAAATGAATTTTTGACAATGAGGAATCTTTACCATCATAAGTCCTCATCTTAAATCTTTATTTCTGGCATCCTCCAGTAATAAGCCTGTCAATTCTTCTTAACAAGAAATTTCATCTTCATGCTGGTATAAAACTCGGGTCTTTCCATTCTTAGTATTACATCTTTTTCCTGTTGTTTCTCAGTGTCTCTATCCCATTTTTCTTCCTTGGACTCTTCTCCTCCATGGATTCATTGCCCTTTCTCCCTCCAGACACTTCTGCCTCTTCTGCTTATATTCCAGCACAACAAATGCTTAATTGTATATTTCCCCTTGTCAGTCTCCTAAGCTTTATATTCACATTTTTTTCACAGTCTCATTGCTTAACCCACAGATTTGTGAAGAAGACAGGTATCTGTAAAGCCTACCTTCTCTGTAGTATCTCTTTTGCTCCTGTCATCTTCAGGCATCTGTACTTCCTTTCCATAGGTTTTACGAGGGCGGAGAGTGATAGGACAAGGGGGAATGGTTTTAACCTGAGGCAGGGGAGGTTTAGGTTAGATATTAGGAGGAAGTTTTTCACATAGATGGTGGTGATGCACTGGAACAGGTTGCCCAAGGAGGTTGTGAATGAATGCCTGTCCCCATCTGATCTTTCGCCAAAATATCCTCTTGTCAGTACCCTCTTGTGGTCCTTGCCCTCTTTGGTGTCACCCTCCTGAATTTCAGCCATTTTGGATACCCTCTCTACTCCCTGATGTCTCCGTCTTCCTCAAGCTAAATGCAACTTGCTTCTCTATTGGTGCGAACCAGCATTGGCTCAGATGGTCTGATTTTAGTGGAGTGTGTGTGAATGCACTCTCAGAGCAGGTCCCCTTTGTATTGGCTGCTCTAAAGAGAACAGGCACTCAGTAACCTGGGGACAGAAATGACTTGGGGAATGTTCAAAGTTATGCCAGCATAGGTTCAGGCTGGATATTAGGAAAAACTTCTTCTCAGAGTAGTGGGTATTGGAACAAGCTGCCCAGAGAGGTGGTGGAGTCACTGTCCCTGGGGGTGTTCAGCAAAGGAGTGGATGCTGCACGGAGTGACATGGCCTAGAGCAGTCACACATATGGACTGATGGTTGGACTAGATGATCTTAGTGGTCTTTCCAACCTGAATGATTCTGTGGTTCTGTGGTTGTGGATGCCCCATTCCTGGAGGCATTCAAGGCCACACTGGATGTGGCTCTGGGCAGCCTGATTTGGTGGCTGGTGACCCTGCACATAGCAGGGGGGATGAAACTTGTAGATTGTTGTGGTCCTTTTCAACCCAGGCCGTTCTATGATCATATATATTCTTTTCTATCTTCTGTTAGGATTCAACAACAGGACGAGCATTACAGCTCTTTACCCAGTATTGAAATACCTCTTTTTAGGACACTGCTACACTTCCTCAGTAGCAGTCATCATATTTTCATTGTTGTCAAGCAAGAATAAAAGGCCGCTTGTGGTCTTTCCTTCTACTTACTAACTCCATCTTTGGTCTCTGCAGTGGAAGTCTAGCAATTAACCGCCTCTGAACTGTGTGTGATTAAAGACAGGAACGCTCCCTGGAGGCCTTTGTGCAAGTCCTGTTTGGAGTAGGACAGCTGAAGGACAGGCTTCTTTCCACTTGATCCTGATGAGAACAAAACAAACAGTCCTTACTCTACCACCTCTACATGCTAATCTTTTGTTTAAGAACCTCATATTGCCGGTTTCTCCTTCCTGGCCTAGGCTCAACACTGAAAACCCTCTGGGGAAGGAGGAAGTGAGGCAGCAAACAAAAACAACTGCACCCATGAATACGCATTTGGCTGTTGTGGCTTACCTGTAAGTGAACCTAATTGAAATTAAACTGTGAATAACGCAAAGTAGAACTGGAAGAGTTATCCGGAGGACACACTATCCTCGCTCATGTGAATAAGGTATTCATAAAGAATGAGTAAGCTTTTGTGCAGTTGTTCCTGGTATTTGCATCGCTCATTAGTACTGGGTATGTAACACGCAGCTTTGCGGTGAGGGATACATGCAAACCTATGTAATTTTCCCTCTGCTAACTTCAGGAGGAGAAGGGATCACCCTAAGGAGGTCAGCCCCTGCATCTTCCCACTCTGTTAAGAGCACTCAACGTGGTGCACAAGAAATGAAGGACCGCACTTAAAGCCAGGCGGTACCAGCAGCTGACTAGGCGGAAGGAGCCCTCACACACCCAGGCCGCCAGGCCGCCCGCCCGCCATCACTGCCCGCGAGGCTCGAGGGAAGCCGCGAGGCCGCCACCACCGCCATTTACCGCCAAAACTGGTCGGAGGAAGGGCGGGGAGCGCCGTCACGTGGCCGCGCGGCAGTTGGAGGGGGCGTGGCGTGGCGTCACGTGACGCGCGGACGCGCGCGCTCCCTGCCCGCTCTCGCCCCTCCCCGGCCGAACCCCGCGCCGCGGGGGGATGGGTAGTGCGCGCGCGCTCCTCCCCGCCCGTCCTCTCCGGCACGTGACCCCTCCCCGGAACGTGGCATTGTGTAATCACGTGACGCGTAGCCGAGCGAGGAGGGGGGCGGGAGGCCGAGGCGGCGAGAGGGGGGGCTGCGTACGCGACGGAGCGGGGTGCGAAGATGGCGGACGAGGAGGCCGAGCAGGAGAGCGGCGGCCTCGGCGGCGACCTGCTGGAGCTGCGGCGCCTGCGGGAGCGCCTGCTAGAGCTTGAGACGGGGCTGCGGGAGAGCGCCGAGCCCGCCGTGCAAGCGGCCACCGAGTACTGCAAGCAGCTCTGCCAGGTCAGGCCGCTCTCCTCTCCTTTCCCCCGCTCCGAGCGGGCTGCGGGAGGCTGCCGATGCCGGGGCGCAGCTCGGGGCTCTGCCCGGCGGCAGCGGCGCTCTCTCCGGAGGAGCGGGCGGCCGTTGGCCCGGGGCGGCGGTCGGCCGCGGGCAGTTGGGCCGGGCGGCCCCTCGCGCTGCGGGCCGGGCTCCCGCTTGACGCTGAGGACGGCCGGCCCGCCCCCTGCGCCCGGAGCCGCTCGGCCGGCCCGCGCTCCCCTGCCCCCGCCTTCTCTCCTCCCCGGCGGCCGCCCAGCGTCTCGCGGTCTCCGGGCCCCTTTGTTGTGCTCTACGGCTCGGCTCAGCCCAGGGCCCTTTGTTCCCGGCGGCGGTGGCGGACGGACCCCCCCTCCCCCTCTCGCCCCCCCACGTCCCCTGCTCTCCCGCACCCCTCCTCCCAGGGGGGCGGCGGCTCGGCAGCCCGGCTCCTCCGCTGGGGGGGGGAGCGGGAGCGCGGCCCGGGCGCTCGGGTCCCTCGGCCGCTCCGTGCCCTCTTAGCCCGCGGCGATTCGGAGTCGTTGGTATCCGGGATGAGAGAAAGCGGTGGGGGACTAAACTTAGGGCTCCGGTGACGGTGGGAGGTCTGAAGGTCGACGGTGCCGCCCTCCCTGTCACTCCTTGCCCTCACGAGGAGGACGAGGAGGACGAGGAGGGATGCGTGGAGCACCGCTGTATGGAAGTGCCGCAGGTGCTGCTGCTGAACTGCTGACCCCGCAGCATCCCTTGCCCGACAAACTTCGGTGTGGGCTGGCTTTAAGGCGCGCTGCTCCATCTTAGCTGTATGCGTGTCTGCATGTTGCCCTCCTTTCTCCTACGAGTCCTTTTTCGGCTGACATTGGGCACGGCACAGTGTGTGAAACAACCCTCGAGGTGCTGAATTTCTCTCAAACGCCTCCCGTGGCTTTGGTCTTGGTTTTAACAAGAGGTGCATCTGATAACAGCACTAATGTCTGTTTACACGTTGCTGTCAGCCATTCATGGAGAGTGGACAAGTGGAAAAAGGTGGAATGGGTGATCGTGGATTCAGAGATGGTTTTTGATCTTGTGTCATGTGGCTTGTGTGGCTTCGTGTCTTCTCTGAAGGAGTTTATTCCTGGTGGAAACCATTATGGGGTGCCCATTTGCATGTCTGTCACTTTGGCTCTAGCTGAGCACCACTCTTTGGTAACCAGGGAGATCCACTGTCAAGCACTTTGTGCACGTTCCCTTCTCGTGTTTGATTTCATTCACACAGGTCTTGTATTTTAGATTCTCTTTCATCGAAATTTGTCACGCTGTTCTTCAGTAGAACGTCTGTGTGGATGCGCAGAAACAAGAGTGGTTTATGTTGGCTCACGTTGCTGTGTTCTCAGCCTGTCCAATCTTTGTGGCGGCTTGCTTAGATTTGTAGTGGGGAGGTGGAAACCTGGCTCTGGCCTGGGCTGACAGTTGAATGAGCTGTTTGTGGGCGGACGTGGTTGGCCAAGTGGGAATGCAGACACCTTTCTGGCACCAAGTAGATTTACCAGTGTTAGAAGCTGATTTATCAAATTATGATCGCATGTATTTAGTGAGCAACTTCATGAGATTCAGTTGGTTTTAGCACAGAGCAAAAACTCATACAGTTATTGGCTTAATGGCTGCTAACAAAAGTCCGTTTTGAGGCCTGACTCTTTCTGAAATGTACTCCTTTGAAAAACAAGTCTTGCTGTACCAAAAAAGTTATGTAGAAATTGACTTAGGTAAGAATGTCCAGTCTTTAGAAATGTCACTGTCACCTCTGCATCAAGAGAGCAGGAAGGCTGGACCTGTGCCTCCTATGTGCAGACATCATGGTATGTAACACTGAGTGCTGATACATGCTGTTCCACACTGAAAGTCTTCTCTTTAAGCTGAGATCTAAACAGCCATAATAGAATCATTAAGGTTGGAAAAGACCACGAAGTTTGCCTAGTCCAGCCATTGACCTGTCACCGCCGTGCCCGCTAACTGTGTTCATCAGTGCCACATCTGCAAGATGCTTCATGAGAGAAGCAGTCATGTTGGCTGGATGTTTTTCACACTGCTTCAACAGATTTTTACATTCGTTCACCTGTGCTGATGGTGCCAAAATACTTGCTCAGCTTCTTCTGCAGTTTCCATCCTTTATTGGGACTAACACAAAACAGCACTTATGGTTCAGAGAGTAGGCTGAGCTGCTTAGCTTGCGCTGCGTGACAGATTATGAAAAATTCATGTCTTGGTAAAAGCCATCTCAGAAGTCTGTGTTTTAAATAACAGTTTAAGGGCATCTGCCATGATTTCTAGAATCAAGTCTTTGGATATATGTGCTTAAAAGAATGATTTGTCTGCTCATACGTACAAAACGGAGGGCCTTGTTGACATCTTAAGGCTGGAAGGGCAGAGCAGAAGAACTGTTCCAGTGTTTGCCTCAGTTGATTTCACCTGCATGCTTTTCTTCATTCTTAGTTTCTAGGCACGAAATAACTACACAGAACTTGGGAAATCATGCATTCTGGTTTTAGTTTATCAATGGAGCACATTATTTTTAGTTGTTATCAAGCAGAGTTCATGTTGTTATAGGAATGTGTAAAATGCCTTTTTGTGATTCCCACTCTTTTGTTGCAGTTTGGAAGTTAGCATGTCCATAGCAGCTACATTGTCATGAGCAATGTGTGCAGACTAGAACTGACAAAGCAAGTATCTTTAGATGTAGTGACTGTAAACTGACAGTGTGAATTTTCAAGAGATCAGAATGGTCTGCAGAAAGTGGTTTTCATACTGTGTGGTAGCTGGTTACGTTCTTTAAGGGTATCTGTTGATTCCCATCTGTATTTAGTTACAAAAGAGCAAATTGAGCTTTTATTCCTCTGAGAGCTAGAGAAAACGTGATGCCAATGTGTATAGCCAATATGGGCACTGTTCCTTTCCCATTTCTCATTGTCCACTGTAATCTTTATTTTTGTTATTACCAAACAGGTAAGAAAACTTATTTTCTAGCTAATGTGGTGTTAAGTTTTTGAAGTACTTCTGCTTACTCCGAGTATCTTTATATAGTTGGTATGTTTCATCTTGGACCTTAAAAGTCTTATCTGCGTGGCTATTTCTGACTTCTGTTTTCTGAAGCTGCTTCTGAGGTTTTTTTTCCCTTCCTGTTCTTTCTTTGGAGGGTACAAACCTTCAGAAACTGTAAGATCATCAGGTTTGTTGTACTAACGCACGAGTTGTCAACAAATAGCAAGTTGTGTTAAAATTATGAAAAGAATTGGAGCTTTTGTACTGTTTTTCCATAATAACTCTGCTGGTGTGTTTTGTTTTATCCATTGGTTGTCTTATCACTATTGTCTGCTTATTATGAGAAAATCATGTGTTAAAATATGCTAGCAAGTGAGTTTAGCCTTTGGTATGACATGTTAATATTCTGTCACGATGGCCTGCTTATTCATTGTTGGCCATCAGCATAGGGACATCTTAACACCAGTAGCAAAAGCCAAGTGCTGGTGGAGAACTTTGGAGGGAAAAAAAAGGGACTTTGCTGCTTAATTTAGAATTAAAAAAAGAAATCCTATTTTTCAACTGATGTTGCAGCTCCCTGTGTGTTCAGTTGCTGCTTTTTAAAAACTGATAATTATGTATGGAGGTGCTAATGAAGTATTCATTAGGGACCACTTGTGTATCAGTCCCACTGCTATACCTTACGGTCCTACTTCCCTCTGCGTTGTGTTTGCTAGATTAGCTCTTAATATTGGGTTATAGTAATCTGATGATCATTAGTGAAAGCTCTGAATTCATTGTGCGTTGTTTACAAGTAATCACTAATGATTTGTCTGTGTTGGAGGTTACTTTAATTTTCTTCTGTTTTATTGCTGTTGGCTTTCAGTTTTTATACATCACCCATTCTTCACAATGTTAGGATGTCTTCCTTACTGTTGATTTCTTCCTCACTTTCAGCCTCCATATTCTCAGCTGCTTCTTCAGACTCAGGTTGACAGAAATAGTCTTCAGTTCTGTCTGTAGAAGTTGAAATAAAGTCTATTTTAAACCTTTCAGCTCCA